TGGCCATCCCCCCTGGGGGGTGATTTCTCGCTTTCTGTCTCTCTGTCTCTCTCTGTCTGTCTGGCGAGCGCACGCACCCTATAGCAAAAAACCCTCAAAAAAAAAAAAAAAGAAAGAAAGAAAAAGAAAGAGAATCTACTCTAGTGAGTTTTAGCAGAAATGTATTACATGGTATTTGCTATAGTTTGAGTGTCCCCACCAAAACTTCTGTTGAATTTGATATCCTGTGTGGCAGTGTTGGGAGATGAGACCTACTGGGAGGTGTCTGGGCTATGGGTTGGATCCATTATGAATGAATTAATGACATCTTGTGAGAAGGAGTGGGTTCTCGGTGATTAGTTCTCATGAGAGCGGATTGTTTTACAGCAACCAGCCACTGTCTTGTTTCCCTCTCTGTGTATGTGCCCTCTGACCTTTCTGCTTCTCCCAGCCATATTGTAGCCCCAGAAGCTGGCCAGATGCTGGTATCATGCTCTTGATCTTTCTGGCTATCAGAATCATAACTCAAATAAATCACCTCGTCTCGGGCATTCCATTATAGCAACACTTAGTGGGCTAAGAATTACTTGGCATTTTGGGGATGGGCAGGGAACAAACCCTAAACATTACACAACTGGAGGTGAAGTGGCCAGAGAATGTCTAATTCTACCACAAATGTCCAAAAACATACTAAGGTTGTTCTAGCAAAACTCCTGTTGTGGCTACCAGATAAAGCTCACCATCTAAAGTGACAGGAGTGACTCCCAGGACCCTCATCGCAACACCTGAAGAAAACCAAATGTGGGGTCAGCAGATGGTGTAGCGGTTGCATTGCTGAACTTCCATATGGCTTACGGTGGTTCCAGTCCCAGACCTGGTGGCTTGAGACTCAAACCAAGTGTGTGTGCGTGCATACCCAAGATTCCAGGAGAAGAATAGAGGAGAAGGGATTGTGGCATGGCCATTCCCCTGGGGGGTGAGTTCTCACTTTCTCTCTTGCTGTCTCTGTCTCTCTCTGGCAGGAGATACAACCTAAGGCAGAAACCTCTTAACAAAAGAAAACTAGGAGAACAGTAAGTTAACCTCATGAATACACTTGTTAATGAGGTAATAGAATCTAGGAGGCTGTAGAGTATCCTGGTTATCACATGTAGGTTGGGCTGCCTTAAATCTCTGCCCTCTCACATGCTAGCTGTAAGATCTGAGACAAGTTATTTACGCTCTCCAAGCCTCAATATCTTCATCTATAACATAGTGATAATGACAGCATCTGTCTCATAAGGTTTTATGAATTGCTTTGGGTGTTTTTATTATATAACAAATTCAATTTCTGAATTTACTCAAAAGTTTTTGTTTTGAAAACCATTGCAATTCCCTAAGTCTCCCTCTTCCATTGAACTAATGATCCTACATTTTATATCTCTAGATTGTCATAAGAATAAACATAGTTAAGATATTTTAAAAGAAGATTTTTAAACTAATCAGCTTCAATTTAAATCTCATTATCTTATTACTATTATAATAAGAATGGGAGAGAATTTGAGCATGAAAGGTATATTAGTGACAAGTTGAATTTAGTTCCAAGTGTTTTATTCTTCTTCTTATTATTATTATGGAGAGGTTTTTGCTATAGGGTGTGTGTGCTCGCCCGAAAGACAGAGAGAGACAGAGAGAGAGAAAGCAAGAAATCATCCCCCAGGAGGGATGGTCATGCCGCAATCTGTTCTCCTCCATTCTCCTCTAGGGATCCTGGGCACAAACACATACACACTCCTAGCGTGAGTTTAAACCACTGGGTCCTGGACTCAAACCATGGTCGATTACATGGGAGTTCAGCAACATAGCCATTACGCTAACTGCTGGTCCCAGTTCCAAGTGTTTTTGTTGTTGTCGTTGTTGTTGTTTTAGAGAGAAAGTTTCTATTTAAGACTCGATTGATGTCCATTCTGAGGATGAATAGATTTGTTATATGAGGGGTCTTCAAAGAGTTCACAGAAAATGTGGAATATGAAAGAACTATGCATAAATTTCAATCACTGTTAAACATTTTTAAAGAATTATTTAATTTTATTTATTATTATTATTATTTCAATTTTTTAAAGGGCATATATGCTCAATATAAAGAGGCAAAGACAG